GGGGGCATCATACTTTAATAGCTTATTGCTTGGCTTCAGTAGCCAAGCAATGACAGCTCAGGGACCGGAAGTAATGTAATACGCATCGCTCCTGGTCCCATAGAGCGTGGAGGAGATAGGTGAATGGAAGTTTGCCGCTCTCCTCCCCAGCTTCCCACTGGCACCCGACATAACGGTCCCGGGCCCGCAGGAGGGGCAGCAGAGCCTGATAAACATGGCGGGGGTTTCGGGCGGGGGGTCACTTTACCGGCATTTAGAAGTGACCTGGCAGCAGCTGAGCTAACAGAATTATTTCTATTGTAAAGCCGACAGCCGGCTTTACAATTGTAAACAGAGTCCCGGCGGCTAAAGCCACTGGGAGTCTGTTTAAATGGACACGCTGCCAATGAAGTACTATGTACGTCAGTGGACATGAAGGGGTTAACAAAGGGTTAATAAGGGGTCAGATAGGGACAACTATTATTTTTTTTCACTTCTAAGGCTGTTTTAAAAGATGTTATGTGCAGATTAACGGTCAAGCCTTTGAACTGTGCATGAATAAAACTGTGTAAATATAATGTAAAATAATGTTGTTACATTGCATTTCTCACTGAAGCGTCTGAACTCTGTTCGGACTCTGTTCATGAATTCCAATTTAAACAGGTACTTCTGTGATGTAGAGATAGATTTTCTGGCAATAGGAGCTGTGGAATACTGGAAAAGAGCATAAAACACAAAACTTTGTTATAGTTTTGTAACTAATACACTGTACACCTATAAGCAGAACTCTAGGCAAAAGTTTTCTTAGTCCTTGTAGTGGGGCTACCCCCACACTGGAAGGGTTAAGTGCTTGTTTTGGTCTAGGGGCTAAACAAAAAAAAGTTATACTCACCCAAAGCTCTGAGCCAGCTGCCTGCTTATTTGGTCACTGATGCCTGTCTTCTCCTACGCTGTAGCATTGAAATAGCATTCGGACGTTCTATACACTGTGTATAGAACGTGATAATTTACAGGACCTTAGACCACTGGAGTGGAGGGGGAGAGAGGCTTCAGGGACCAGTCTAAGAGCAAGCCAGCTCAGAGGTTTGCGTGATTATACCTTTTTTGCAGTATGGGGGTAGCCTCACTGCAAGGGTTAAGAACACCTTTGCCTGCAGTTCTGGTTTAACTGGTTGAAGTGTCTATGTACTTGACAAATTAGGACAAAGGGCAAAGTAGCTAATCTACTTTATAGTGGAGGAGAATGGCACACATACTTACCTGTTTTGCTTTAGGGCCAGAAAAAAAAAACATGCCACTTCCAGGTAAATGAATGCACATGCAACTCACCTCTTCCAGGCTACAGTGCATCATTCAATGCCTGAGTGGCCAGTCCCCAGGCCTGTGTGCTTTCAAGTGGGGATCAGGGTCTTTTGCCCTGTAAATGCTCCTGCTCAGTGTTGGGTCCGGACTTTGATGACGATTTTGCGGAAGGACAGGGTGCTAGTGGAGCTCATGGTAGCTACCTTATGTTGATGTCCTTAGGGTTATTATGATTGTTTGACAAAGTTACTTATAGGAAATATTAATGTTTAGTATGTTTACATGATAAGGGTTCTGTGGAGGTTTTTTATGCTTAAAGTTGGCTTATCAAGAAGTAGGTGACACAATTATGCCATGCCTGCCAACTTGTCTTGAGTTCCTGTATGCTTGCTTCCAGTCTGAAATCTTTCATTGCCTATCTGATTTAGAGTGTCTGCCAAGACTGTCAGTAACATAAAGCCAAATCAAAAAGGACCCGTTGTCATACTAAAATAACCACCTCAGTAGGAAAAAAAACATTATAATTTACTTTTACGTACCAGCGTAGCCTGCTCATTCTACCCAGCAGTGATAGTTATAATTTGACAGGCTTCAGGTTAATAAACGTGAATGCAAGCCATAGAATTCATGCTCTCGTCTGTGACCTTGTATGTTGTCATTGGAGAGGTTTAAGAAGGTTCAATGTTATCAAGCCATCTCTTGATATTAGAAAACCTTGTGCTATCTCTATCATCTGTCACTGGAAGCCTCATTCCTATTGCAAATGTTTCATCTAATCATAAGGTGGGCAGAAGGACACAGATCTTTAATATCCTGTCAGGAAGATATGGGTGATAGTGAACAAAAGAAATAGGTCTTTTCAGATTTTTCCATTTCAGAAAAATTAAAGTTTCTCTCTTTCCCCCCAAAATGGAGACAAAATGATTCTCTGTTCTGGTGTTGTGTGGGTAAAAATTCAATTTCCTGTTATCTTTTTGATGTATGGCTCTAGGTTTCAAACTTGTGTAGGATGTTTTCTTTGTTGTTGAATCTGTGGATGATGGAATGAAAAGTTATTTTTCTCTGGTGTTACTCTCAATAGAAATTGATAGTAAACTGTATCTATCTGGAAGTGGAGATTGCCTACTGAGGCAGGTTTTTCCTCTTAGTTTCCATGGCAGGAAAAATGAACTCAAGTGTAAGATCATGTGCTCATATTTGTTGAGGGAGCACACTGGCTCGGTGGTTACCACTGTGCCACCTTGCGGCACCTTGTGTCCTGGGAACAGTTTTCACCTAAGCATTACATGTGTATATGTATGTATTTATCTTCCTCAGCCCAGACAATAGGCTATTTAGTTAAGTGGCTTTTTCCCAAATGGAAACTAGTGGGTGTCAGTGGTTTCTTTCCAAATGCACACTAGTGTGTGCTTGTGGGAATGACGCACAAACTTATGGCTAAAAGCTCCTTTAGATAGGGAGCAATATGAATGCTTCATTCTTCTCCGTAAATAACTTCGTTGGTGATACCCAAATTATGAAAATAAAAAATATTAGTTTATGTATGTATTGTATTTAATCATTAACATACTTGCATTTCAATCAACAAAGTTCATGCTTTAGCTCTGACTCAGCAGGGGGGAGAGATTATATTTTTTTAAAGTATTAATTGGCACACAAATTAATTTTAAGATCTTTTAGACTAAAAATCATTGGGAAGAAACTATAGGGGAACTCCTTACATAGACTCCACAGGCACAGACATAAGGCTCCATTCACTAAGCCGTAACGGTTGACCTTCACCAAAATGACTATTACAGTGACACTAAACTCAGGAGTTAAATCTTAAAAATGCATTCATGCTCAGCAGGGAACATGAGCTTTGTTGATTGAAGATGCAAGTATGCTAATGATTAAATACAATACATACATAAACTGATATGTTTTTATTTTCATCATTTAGGTATCACTAGCAAAGTAATTTTCAGAGAAGATTGAAGCATTTATATTGTTTCCTCTCTAAAGAAGCGTCCAGTCATACGTCTGTACCTTTGTATTAAAGTTATAGTCCATCCTGAGAGCGACCTTGGAGCGGTGGCTGCTTTACCACACACGCAGGGATCATAGGGAACAAAAGTAGCCCCCCTCCAGAAGGAAGGACAGTGTCAGCACCAATTCAGAGATGATTTCAGGATCTACAGCCGGGTGATACACAAATAAGATACATTTATGTTAGGGTACTTGAAAGCAGTTTTAAGATTTAACTGAGCTTAGTGTGACTTTAATTTTCAGCACAGAATGTCAGTGAGAGCTGAAAATTTTATCGGTATAACAAATAACATATACAGCACAGCTTGGTGAATTGAGACTTTTATGTATGGGATCACCATACAGCAATGCTGTCTAGCATGACTTGTTACAAGTGTCGTGCTACAGTACATTGTGAGTGAGCATGTTGGAAAATAGTCAGCCACATTACGAAAGAGTCAGTCACTACTAAACTAACGGTGTGACCTAATGATGCCTGTACCACTGTTCCATGTATTTTATCCTGTTACCAAAGGCTATAGTGAGCTGTTAGAAATTGATGCATTCATTAATCTAGCTATATCAGATTTAGGAGCTTTCTAACCCTTGTCTGTCTTACAACTTTGCTGAAAAAAAACTAATTTACGTGAAATTTTCAATCAAATTAATTAGCGGAAGCTAGAGGTAAGGGTCCTATTTGCTGTATTATTATATGGAAAAGGGAGGGGTGGGGGAGGTTTGTAGGAGGCAAACATGAAAAATGATACCAAGTACCGTACTCAGTACAAGTACAAATACAAGTACAGATACTTTTTGAGCTCCAAGACTAGACTAGAGAACAATTCAAACGTTAGGAGGCACCTGTCATTTCTAAGGAGCACACGGAGCTCCTGGGAAGTGCATCCCTAGTATGCATTAGGACTAGCAGCATTATTGGATGCCACAGTTTACTTCATATGTGGCCTTTGTTAGCAAATAATCAGTGACAAAGAATTCAGAAACATTCTTGACACATATTCTCTTTTTACTTTGCAGTATGGATTAAAAAAGAAAGAAGAAAAGGAAGCTGAAGAGAAAGCAGCAATGGAGCAACCTTGTGAGGGCAGTTTGACTCGCCCAAAGAAAGCCATCCCTGCAGGATGTGGCGATGATGATGAAGAGGATGAGGAGAGCATTTTGGACACCGTACTCAAGTACCTCCCAGGTCCTCTGCAGGACATGTTCAAAAAGTAACCATAGCCTGCCAAGCGGACCTCTTCTTTAGCCAAACTTATTTTCAGCTACAAAAAAGGGACCAGCAAGGATATCCTTGATGACGAGATACATATAAGCACACAAATGGATAACACAAGTATAAGCAAGCATTTGTCAAGCCACCTGATCTTCTGTACCAACGAACATAAAAAAAAAAATACATGCAAACTTGCAACCGCAAACGCACACAATCAAGGACACCAAACACCTCTTCTCTTTTACTTTCTTGGACGTTGGTCTTTATATCATACATCATACGGACAAAGTTACTGCTGCTCAAAATGCTGGTCTCAGCAGTGACAGATTTGACAATTTGACAACTACTTTTGAAGCAGTAATTGAAATGTACTTACTCTTGAGCAGATCTTCTAGCAAGATAACTCATTAGGGTAAAAGTGTCCTACACTGGTCTGCTAGATGAAAAACCAGGAAGTTCCAACTCTCTGTTGCTCATCTGTAATTTAACACTCATAATAATCCTTAGCATGTTATCATGTGTGTATAATTAGCTCCTTTCATGTAAGGGCACTAGGCTGCAAAGTGACAAAGTTCATATGCAGATTTAATGTCCGTTTTGTGAATTTTGTCACACATTTTTTGACATCTGGGAGATGGGAATATGTCATGAGATGCATGTGGAGAAACCCTGGTGGTTTTTTATCTGTTCAGTGCATTATATATTGTGTTTTTTTCTGCATTTTACCCCTACCTTTTCTTTGCATTGCTTATGGGACCTGCAGTAGCTAACTTCCGGGCTTTGGGTGTTCTGAAAAATCAGCCTCTTTCCTTCCAAAGAACAGACAGTCAAACATCGTATAGTTCTGGATGGGTCTGGATACAACTGCAGGTCTCTTAGCAATGTCCTTCAAGGTGAAGTATGACAGCAGAGTCCAGGGTGTAGAATGGACCCACACATGGCCTCTAACATGGACCAAGAGACTTCTCGTTTGGATTTCTATGACTCTAATAATGCTGATTGCATGCTTAGGAAAGTACAAGTGTCTGATGCCTTTTTAAAATTGGAAGCACTGTCTGTCTTAGTCCCGTGCCTATCACCATAGTTACTGTTTACATTCATAACACAAGGACCAGATTAGAGCTGAGTGCCTGGTGTGTGTATATATAGGCATGTGTGCATTTGTATTTAGCCAATCTTTCTTTTAACTATAATAGTTTTTTTTTATCAAACCAAAGTGATTAATCTTTTTATATGTTTATCAATGTCTGTTTTTAAGTCTACTGTCTCCAGTAATTAACCATTTTGCCTCCCTGAGACAAAGTGAGGACCAAACTGCAGACCCTGTTAAAGAAATAGCTGATATTCTGTACTACTATGTGGCTAAATGTGAAAATACAATGTCTTTGCCTTTTTTACGTTTTACCAACAACCCTATCCAGAAGCATAGTTTACCTCTCCAGCCAGTGCATTTTGTAATATTTTCGTAATGGTAAAGAGCTAGCTTCAAATGAGGGCCCTTAAAGTGTGCAGGATACTTTTTTAGAACGTTTGTAGGCAGTACAGATATGGTAACTTTGCAGTAGTCCTTAACAGTGACTGCTGTTTAGAAAACAACAAAAACAATAAAAAAAGAACTAGGATATTGATTTGTAATCTTAGTTATGTAAATTACTTTTGTATTTTTTAGAAACAATTGCTAGAATAGCAAGTTATGCCAAGGAACTGCCAGATGAATACTACAACATTCCAGAGAATGGATCTCATTTGACCTGGAGACCAGGATCCATTCATTCTCTTATAACCAAGTTCTAGATAAGTGGGTAGATTTATTGCTCTGTGATGGGTCAGTTTGGTAGGGTTGCAAGACCACAAAATATGTATAAACCAATAAAATAGACTAAATATTTAACTTTTTGAGGGTGGAGCAAAAATGTTAGATTGTGGGGCCATAAGCGAGGTCCTGAACCAAGAGGCTCCTAAAATCTAATATTGCTGCCTGACCAGTATATGTTTCCATTGAAATTAGAGAATATCATCACAATATAATATTACATATAATTATTACAGTTTATTTTTTTCACAGATGGCTATGTACATAATTTATTGTGTATACTTACAATGATAACTTAATATTGCAGTAGTAAAATATTGAATTTTCACTGAAAGCATAAATAAAAGGCAAGGGCTGTTAAACTGTATACTTAAATACTTAAATAGACACTATTTTAAAATACTACATATTGAAATTATAT